TACGAGAAATGATTACAATATTTACCTTTTAGTTGAGATCCACTTATACTCAAAACATTTTTTGTAGTGTGAATGTAGGTCATTGTACAGGACCCAGAACTGGCCACTCTGTTCTTGCTCAGAAATGACAGGGTGGACTCAGTATCAGCATCTCTTTCTCTCTTCTTACTAAAGGCAATATGAAGTTAAAGCAGCTGTTGCCATGAAGCATACCATTCCATCATCCAATGCTTGCAGAGGATAAAAGGCTGGAATTCTGACGTAAACAGGAAAGTACCGAGAATGACCTGGGAGGTTAAAAAAAGCAGGTACATGGCAAAAAATGATGTCACAAATAAAATTCTTCTCTATTGTGTAATACAAAAATGGAAAAAGTCCAAAAAGTCCAAAAACGGCTGAACAAAATGCACACAATTGTTTGCAAAGGCGTTACAAAATGTATGACAAAGCGCATGCGAAAACGCTATGCTCAGATGTGAATGGAGCCTTATGGCATCATGAGATAGTGGACCAACCTGAAGTGGTGCTTTCTTTGCTATGTATGTTGTATTACGATAAATTTTCCTATAGCTTTAATTTTGCTTGTGTCTGTTACTTCCAATTCAGGCCTTTTACATCTGGAGAACAAATCAGGTGTCACGGTCAAAATGACCTAAAAAAAGCCCCTTTTAAGGTTGAAATGAATCCGATTGGGGTGCTGCTGTAGTATTCAAGCAAAAATAAATGTAAAAGTAAAAAAATTAGTTTATATATCCAGTCATAACAAAAGCAGGTGTTGCCAACACTGATTGTGAAACTTGTACTGTTCCATAACACCACATACAGCTTAAGGGCATCTTCCAAGCATTTAATTTAAATGATTGATGTTTTTTTTGAAGGTCATTCTTGATGAAAAAGGACCCTCTCCTCACTGTGCAGCATGTTTTTGTTAAATGTCTCCCATAGCAGTGTCCAGATCTCCATGCCATTTTTTTGACAATAGCTCACCTATTAGACATGCCAAAGGATAGAATTTGGTGTCAAGATTCCTTCCCCTACTTTAGAGATTTAAATGGGATTTTAATAGAATATGCTGCTAAGAATCACCCAAGCAGGTTTGCCCATTCGTAGTGAAAGCTACAGTTTGACTCCATCCTTTCATGAGCGATGCTCTGCCCGTTTGCTTCACTCAGTGCTGTCTAACTGTCAGGAGAGTGTACAGTACTCAGATGAAAATAAAAGCATGACAGATTTTTTTGCTAAATATTAGCCACTTTGCATCAAAGAGACAAAGAAGAATAGGAGTCATTGACATCAATTTTTCATTGTTAGTGATCAGGGTAACCAAACGTAAAAGCTGTCATACTAAGCAGATTGTTCTTCAGTTAAAATGAAAGATTTGCCAGTCCATGTCATGAACTTGGTACCACCTGAACTCTTTTACACAAAGGGAAATAATGTTTTTCCTTTTGCATAAACGAGAAAGTATCTTTACTGGTTATAGAGGTTTTCTAGCAGGTTAGAAAATCTATTAAAGCATTTGCTTTAGAAATGGCAGGGGAGAGTATTGCATTACAAAGCACTTTACTTAAGAAGGTTGAAAACATTGGTTAAAAATTGTAAAATGCATAACGCTTATAGATGGCGGTGGAGGTTTCATTGTCAAAGTAGCCATTTAGGCTTGCTTGGTACATTAACCCCTAAAATTCACTGCCTGTAAACTGCAAACAGTAACATCGCTTGCAAAGTTACTCCCCCCTATAGCTGCACTCCAAGGAATTGATACAATAGCAGCATTCAAGAAGGGCAAAACACTTATGCTAATTTGCACCTGTTTGCATTTTAATCTTTAGCTGAAAATTATTCCTTTGCTCACAATTTACCTTATCGTCTGAATCTGAATATCTGTTCTCTACAAAATTAGTTTTTATTTCTAAGATAGCTACAAAGCCCTATTAAATATTGGTGTATATAGCAAATCTTTGGAAACTAATTGATTCAAATAACTGTAATAACCGTAGCATAGCATATTGTATACAAATATTTTGTACAGTATATTTTATTGTAAATTTATATATCAGGATGGCTCACCCTCATCAGAAACAATCCACAATCTCCAGCATTGCTCACTGCTTGCTGCACTGTATCTGATGAAAGCAAAGGAGCCTTCACAGGTACCTCCTTAAAAGCTCAACTTTATTTACTAATTCAAAAGAATTACAGAACTCTTACATGCTTTAGAAAACAACCTTAATCATAGTTTATTGATTATATGTAGCCTAACCACTTGCCATCCACCCTGTAGCGGAAGTACTGGTACAGGGTGGCACAGCTGCACAAAAATCACGATACACACACACACACACACATAATATATATATATATTTACAGTATATATATATATATATATATATATATATATATACACACACACACGTGATTTGCATTTCTGGGTAGGGAGTGCACGCTTACGCCACCCTACCCGCACCGCTTTTGGCGACTGGGGATGTCAATCACTAGGTCCCGGCCAGCACTTGGCAATCGTCTGCAAAGCTGACAAGGATGAGTCTCTCTCCTGTCAGCATGGACATTCTGCTTTGTATCTCTGTACAGCAGACAGAAACAAAGCAGCATGTCTCCTAAGTAAAACACAGCACACAATGTAAAATGCACAGCACACAGTTAACCCTTTGATCATCCCAGATGTTAACCCCTTCCTGCCCAGTGTCATCAGTACAGTGTCCATGCTTTTTATTAGCACTGATCACTGTATTAGTGTCACTGGGGATGTCAGTGGCAGTTAATCAGGTCCCATCCAGTGTCAGAATACCAGCCGCAGTCCCGCTATAAGTCTCTGATCGTCGCCATTACTAGTATAAAACAATAAAAATTCCAGTATATATACCGCCATTTGTAGACACTATAACTTTCACGTAAACCAATTAATATGCACTTATTGGGATTTTTTTTTTAGCAAAGACATGGATCAGAATGCATTTTGGCCTAAATTTATGAAGAATTTTGGTTTTAATTTTTTTTAATGGTTATGTTTTATAGCAAAAAGTCCAAAATATTGTTTATTTTTCAAAATTGTAATTTTTTTTTAATAACGCAAAAAATACAAAAGCGCAGAGGTGATCAAATACAAAAAATTACAAATTTAATTTATGTACAGCATTGCATGCCCACGCAATTGCCAGTTAAAATAACGTACCGCCGTATCGTAAAATGCCTGGTCAGAAAGTGGGTGGGTAATTCCTCTGGAGGGCAAGTGGTTAAGAACATTTGTCTCTGAAATGTGTAAGTGTTCTATAATTCTAACAGGACTTATTGTTACTGGACTATGCAGGACTCTTTTTCTTCCACAAGATGGCAGCAGCAGGTGTAGTTGCTGTTGGGAGTGAACTTAGACTTCAGAATGCTGGAAAAGGGAAATGTAGTTTGGGTGGGGGGGCTTTGAAAAGAAAAGCTTGGGGAGTCGAGGGGGGAGTTGGGGATAACTGGCAACTGGAGAGCTACTGGAGTTGCTGTTTGTGACTCACCGGGGAAGGAGCTTGGGAATCTTTTCCATGCTACTGTGTCCTAACACAGACATCTGGAGTGAGCTAGACAAGACTTGCAGTGTTGACTGCTCCGGTGCGAGTTTCAATCACCAACCAGTGATCTAATTTGCCCAGGCCTGTTGCTGGGGCAAGGGAGGTGTCCTGCTGCTATGGTACCCATAATCTTTCCTGCCAGAGAGATAAACTACACCCTCTAACTTTTCAACTAATGGCTGAAGGAAATCTAAAAGGAGAGCAGTGAGAGGGTCTCAATGTACAATGAACTCTGAGGCAACTGAAATAAAAAAAAAAAAAAAACGTGATGAAACGTGGTGTTAGTCTTTTGTGCCCTTTTCACCAAGGGCACAAAAGACTGATCAACCTCTCAGGCAGTGCTGTCACTTAAACAACAATGCCACTCTCAGCCCCACACTGCAGAAAGATTTTCCAGCTTGCAGGGCCACAACCAAGGTGCCAACAGCCTGAGAGTGATTGTGACTGGTTTTAGTTAACTAAACAATTAACTCCTTACACTGTCACCACCGACGTTTATAGAAAAGTCTGAAACTTTCACAATATTATGAAAAACATTTGTGAAAAATAAATGTTTGTACAGACACTGTCACCACAGAAAAGTATATTCAGAGGGTTATACTACAGTAGCACTATTCAAGAGACAGGGTTTTGTTGAGTTTAAGAGCATTTAGAGACAGTTTTACCACTTTTTAAAACATAGTTTAATAATGAAAAGGTAAAAATTATGCAAATAAAATATTTACAAAAAAAACAAAGATTTTACAAAGTAATAAAGAGACAACAAGCAACAGAAAGAAAAAGGTGTAAAAATAAAGAATACTTGCAAGTCCTGGTTTTAGTGGAGTCTAATCAATCAAGCAAGACGGTACATTGACTCTCAAAGGACTTGACAGTTGTTCCTTGTTTTGATGTTAAACAAGACTTCCCAAAATGCGGTTACATTCCACTTTTCTTTACATTAAGGGGACTGTTGACTGAGACCATCTGACCAATTATGTGGTCTAAGGGGTGGTTGTGTAAGGTATAAAAGGGTTAGTCCAGAGTGGAGCTTTGGCCGGGGGGTTGGGACATTAGCATAGTCAGGCAGGCTGGGTCAGCAACAAATCTTGACAGCAAGGTAAAAAGTCAAAATCTAAAAGCCTGGTCAGAGGCAGGTAGGGTCATACATTAACTGATAGGGTAATGCAGAATTGTCAGACAATGAGAAAAAATCTAGGAATTAGGCAAAGGTCAAAGTCCAGTAGTTCACCTGTATAGCACACACCCAAGGAAACAGATCCAACAAACGGGCTAGGTACACAGGACGTCCTGCAACTTAAGTTGGGTTCATTGTGGATTGACTGCAGCTGGAAGGTAGATGGAGCTAGAAAGTCCCAGGAGCTGTTGTAAAGCAGAGTGTAAGGTGCAGAGAGTCAGATTCCCAAGTGGCAGAGCGAATAGGACCACAGCCAGGGGCGGACTGACAACTCATGGGGCCCCCGGGCAATAGGGGATCATGGGGCCCCTGTGTCCTTGCCCAAACTCAAAATAGCCTATGAAAAAGGTACCAGGGGCATCTCATGGGGCCCTCTACTGACCCCGGGCCCTCGGGCAGTGCCCGAGTTTCCAAATGGTAGTCCGCCCCTGACCACAGCACAGAGCCAGAAGAACCCAGGTTCAAACCCAGGCATATGACAGGTTGCTGGGATGTCACTACGTTAATGTAGTCCCAAAGTCCCAAATACAGTTTGCTATAGGTACAGTATTAATATCTCTGAATACCTACAGATCACAGCCTGCTAATGTGCATATTATTGTCCAGTGTGAAATAAGCTTCAGAATGATTATCAATGGTTTGGATCAGTGGGACCTAACCTCTCATATTTCAGATAAGTAACCAATTACATCAAAGGTCATTTACTTGTCTGCAATGATTCTTACAACAGACCACCAATATAAGTGGGGATTTCTTTGACTACCAGTGTAAGGAGGGTTTCTTCCACTAACCATTACTGTAACAAATATTTCTCCTTTTTGTCCTCAAGATCTCCACCTGCAAGACTGTGATATTGCAATAGTTCCCTACCTGACGACTGAGTCGGAGTCCACCTAGATTCAGCCTCTCCAGGCGGAGTCCTGCATCTTAGGCTGCTGACTGCACCAACAAGATGTCTGTATCCTTTCAGATGAAGTCCGGAAGTGACGAAACGCGTTAAAGGAGTGACGTCAAGACGCACGTACGCAGACCGGAAGTGTCGCCGCGGCCATTTTTAAGGTTATCAACACATGGTGGAGGAAATGTTTGTTGGAAACAGAGAGAAACCATGTTTGGAGCTGATAATCTGGTTTTTATATGTGAGTTACTAATAAATGTTATCCCTATGCTTTGAACATTGCTCCTAAGACCATTTTATCTTTCTGAGGACCTTGGAAAAAATATTCTTAAAGAAGAATTTGGAGGATTACTGATCCATAATGTTTGTAGAGCTCTCATAATATTCACAGAGGGTAATAGTATTTAGTACTATTGTGTGGTGGTTGATGGTATTCACTGAGTTGCAGTGATCACAGAGTGTGTACACTTTGGATTGATGTGTTTAAATGCACTTTATAAAAATTAATTAAGATTGGAATAATTTAATTATATATATATATATATATTTTTTTTTCTCACAAATATTTTGAAGTGAAGTGTGAAGTTGCACGGGGTGATTTCTTCTAATTAATTGAATTGCACTAGATTATTTATATTTATTTTTTTGAGGTACGTTTTTGGATGAAGTAGAGGTCAACTTTCGTATTTGGAGGAAAAAGATTGGAATTTTGGACATGTTTTTGGGTTTATCTTTGGATTTATTATTGGACATTTTGGATTTGGGGAATTTTTGTATTTTATTTTATTTTATATTTTTGGTATATATTTATGATTTTAATTTATTTTGGGAATTTATTATATCACAAAAAGGTTTTATATATATTTTTACTACACTTTCTAGGGTGGAAGGTATTAACTTTTTGAGGGTAGAAAAAGGAGGGTACACATTTAATTAGTTTCCTTGAGATCATAAGATTATTTCAAGTGTTCCTCCATGGTAAAAGGCTGAGAATGGCTAATCTTTAGAAATTTTCTCCAGGCTTTGTCTATTGCCCATGATTGATCCCTCTGAAAGGGCCCTTTTACAATATCAATAGCAAGATGTTCCATTGCTGCTTCCTTGCTGGAGAGAAATATTGTGCAACATTTTAATCAACAAGAGGATGATGCAATAGGAGTAGGTAAGAACTCTCTGTATTGATGCTTTGCTGGTATGTCCAGCAGTAATAGGATTATTGTGTGACATGTCTCTTAGTGTATTTGACATGGTTCTTGTTTATTATAAAATCTTACGATTTCACTTCTACATATTTTACCCTGACACACTTTTCTCAGATTGTCTTTTATGTGCGGTGGTGGTCATCTGGGCATTAAAGTAGTATTCTGGGATAAAGCTAACTAATCTTAAAGTGGTTCTAAAGGCTGAAGTTTTATTACCTTTATGTATTCTATGCATAAAGGTAAAAAACCTGCTGTGTGCAGCAGCCCCCCCCAATCCTTATTTGAGCCCCCTCCAATCCAGTGACTCTGCTGTCTGGGTACTCTTCCTCCTCATTGGCTGAGACAGCAGTGGGAGCCCATTACCTCCCGCTGCTGTCAATCACAGCCAGTGAGCCAATAAGGAGAGAGCAGAGGGTGGGACCGAGCTGCGGCTCTATGTTTCTTATGGAAGCATAGAGCAGCGGCGTGAGGATCATCATGCAGCAGTGCCCCCAGGATGAGCAGCTTTCCCTGGGGGCACTGCTTGAGGGGTAGAAGTTAGGCGCGCCAGCAGGGACCTGAAAAGAAGAGCACAGAGCAGGTAAGTATAGACATGTATGTTATATAAAAAAAAAAAAAAAAATGAGGCTTTAGTGTCACTTCAAAACACTGTGAGTTTCATCCAAATGGGCTTTATTTAATGAAATGTGTGTCAGGAAGAAGCTGCCGCACACATCTGCCAGATTCACCAGCACTGAGTACCTGAGGTCAGCAACAAGCTGTTCCTTTGTGAGCGGGTGAGAGATGTTGCATTTAATCTCTGCTCTGTATTACCTTAGCTGTGGATCTGTCAGGGGAGGGAAGGGAAGCTGTCACAGGATCGGTATCAGTCAGTGAGAGGCCTGAGTGGTTTGGATATTTAAAATGCTGGCTATGGAAGTGATGTCTAAGCACTTTTTTGTGAAGTGTCTTTTAACTTATTTTTTGGAAGTGTATTTATTAGGATAATGCTCAACTGTGATTTTTTATGAGGAGGTGAGCAAAACCTTGGACAGAGGGGTGGCGGTGGGACGTGGTATACTTGAATTTTGCAAAAGCGTTTGACACAGTACCCCACACACGGTTAATGTGTAAGGTAAAGTCTACATGCTTGGAAAAATCTGTATGTAAATGAATAGAAAACTGACTAAAAGATCGTATTCAAATAGTAGTGGTTAATGATTCATACTCTTAATGGTCAGGGTTCATCAGTGGTGTACCCCAAGATTCAGTGTTGGGACTCTTACTTATTAATATATTTATAAATAATATAGAGTCTGGGATTATAAATAGAGATGAGCGAATCGAACTCGGCGAAGTGGAATTACTGTGTAATGGTGGACACGAATTGGAGCTATAAATTGCGGCCAAATTGTTACAATTCTCCATTGCCTCTGGGGACATTCAAGAGAGACAGATCTCTCTGTATTAGGGACACAGAATTGTTACTGAGGGACACAGAATTGTTACTGTTACTGAGGACACAGAATTGAAAGGAGACAGACACAGTTGTTACTGAGGGACACAGAATTGTTACTCAAGGGACAGACACAGAATTGTTACTGAGGGACTCTGAGGGACACAGACAGAGGGACACAGAATTGTTACTCAGGGACAGACACAGAATTGTTACTGAGGGACACAGAATTGTTACTCAGGGGACACAGAATTGTTACTCTAGAGGGACACAGAATTGTTACAGAAATGTTACTCAGGGACAGACACAGAATTGTTACTGAGGGACACAGGTTACTGACACAGAATTGTTACTCAGGGACACAGAATTGTTACAGACAGAATTGTTACTGAGGGACACAGAATTGTTACTCAGGGACACAGAATTGTTACTCAGGGACAGACACAGAATTGTTACTCAGAGGGACACAGACACAGAATTGTTACTGAGGGAACAGAATTGTTACAGGGGACACAGAATGAGTTACTCAGGGACACAGAATTGTTACTGAGGGACAGGACAGCAGAATTGTTTAATGAGGGACACAGAATTGTTACTGAGGGACACAGAATTGTTACTCAGGGACACAGAATTGTTACTCAGGGACAGACACAGAATTGTTACTGAGGGACACAGAATTGTTACTGAGGGACACAGAATTGTTACTCAGGGACACAGACAGGGACACAGAATTGTTACTGAGGGACACAGAATTGTTATGAGGGACTGACTGGACACAGAATTGTTACTCAGGGACACAGAATGTTACGTTACTCAGGGACAGGAATTGACACAGAATTGTTACTCAGGGACACAGAAATTGTTACTGAGGGACACAGAATTGTTACTCAGGGACACAGATTGTTACTGAGGGACACAGAATTGTTACTGAGGGACACAGAATTGTTACTCAGGGACACAGAATTGTTACTCAGGGACACAGAATTGTTACTGAGGGACACAGAATTGTTACTCAGGGACACAGAATTGTTACTGAGGGACAGACACAGAATTGTTACTGAGGGACACAGAATTGTTACTGAGGGACACAGAATTGTTACTCAGGGACACAGAATTGTTACTCAGGGACACAGAATTGTTACTGAGGGACAGACAGACACAGAATTGTTACTCAGGGACAGACACAGAATTGTTACTGAGGGACACAGAATTGTTACTGAGGGACACAGAATTGTTACTCAGGGACACAGAATTGTTACTCAGGGACAGACACAGAATTGTTACTGAGGGACACAAATTGTTACTGAGGGACACACAGAATTGTTACTGAGGGACACAGAATTGTTACTGAGGGACACAGAATTGTTACTCAGGGGACACAGAATTGTTACTCAGGGACACAGAATTGTTACTCAGGGACACAGAATTGTTACTGAGGGACACAGACATTGTTAACTCAGGAATTGTTACTCAGGGACACAGAATTGTTACTCAGGGACACAGAATCGTTTGAATTAAAAGAGTATGTCAGACAACATGCAGAGGAGTGGCAGAGGAGGCAATGTTTTAGGAGCGAGCAGACGTGGCAGCAGAGGAAGGGGTCGAGGCAGCACTAGTCGCAGCCAGAGGCCAGTGCTCCCGGTGTCATCCAGCGGTCGTGTCTCCACCGACAACCCTGCCGTCATCGATTGGTTGGCTCGGTCGTCTTCCTCTTCCCAGGTCACCTCTGACACCTACAGCCAACGGTCGGTGGGTACGTCAGACACAACCGTTAGTTGGCATGGCCCGGGACAAGCCCACTGAAATCACGTGTCCTCTACCTGCCCCTGTCCTTTGGTGTTCCCTCACCAAGCGAAGTATCGCATGCTGTGGGCTCAGCCCCACTGTACAGTGAGGAAGAGCTAACAGAGGGCGGTCAGGAACGGGGGGAGACATCCGCCTCTTCAGCAGCCAGGCGAAGAAGTACTGGCGAGGAGAGTGGCTCGGTAGCCGGTCTAGAGACAGGTCTGTCTCCTGACCCACACGCAGCCGAGGGGGCTAGTAGTGAGGCGGAGACCCTAATTGATGATGATGAGGCTGATCGCACTTGGCAGCCTCGTCGTCATCAGGCTATTGCTTCCGCATCATCAGGAGAAGAGGGTGCCAGCTTGGCAGCGAGCAAAAACAGTCGGTGGGTTGCCCAGGAGGCAGCAGGGTCGCAGCAGTGTCAGTGGAGGCAAACGGCCACGGAGTAGAGCACCAGCTCCACTGCAGCCTACCACCACGGCCAGTAGTGGTGCCGGTGTGCACGGAGGAAGTAGCAGTCAGCCAGTGAGGAGTATCGGGGGCAAAGTTTCCTACTCGGCGGTGTGGCAATTTTTCGTCAAGCCGCCCGAGGAAGTAAACGTAGCCGTATGTCGACTATGTGGCCAGAAAGTCAAGCGTGGCCAGGGGGGCCCATGTTGGGACTACAGCGTTGCGGCAGCATATGCAGCGTCGCCATTTGGTGGCCTGGGAAAACCGTGATAAAGATACGGCGGTTCTGCCTGCCCCAGCCCCCGCTCCATCACCCGCTCCGTTACTTGCTCCGTCACCCGACGTCAATCGCCCTCTATCAGCCAGTCAAGGCTCCAACACCTCTGCTGAGGGGAGTTGTCGCTCGTTGGCATCTTCCGCTCGTTCAGATGCTCCTTCTCCTGCTACTCCTCTTCACGGATTCCGTCAGCAGTCTTTCTTGGAATCCGTTTCCAAGAGACAACAGTTTGCGAGCACGCACCCGACGGTGCAGAAGCTGAACGTCCTCCTGTCCAAGTTGCTGGTGCTGCAGTCCCTCCCTTTCCAAGTGGTGGACTCAGCACCTTTCCGAGAAATGATGGCTTGTGCCGCGCCGCGGTGGAGAGTGCCAAGCCGGCATTTCTTCGCCAAAAAAGGCAGTGCCAGCCCTGCATTCACATGTAGAAGAGATGGTGGGCCAGTCTTTGAGCATGTCGGTCTCTGCCAAAGTGCACGGCAGCGCCGACGTGTGGAGCTGTAACTACGGTCAGGGACAGTACATGTCATTTACGGCCCACTGGGTGAACGTGGTGCCGGCACAGCCGCACCAGCAACTTGGACAGGTCACGCCGCTTTTGCCTCCACGTTTGCACGTCCTTGGTCCGGCAAAGATGTCCGCCTCTACCACCTCTTCTTCCGCCGTGTCCTCAGCCGCCACCCCCGTGCCAAGTCCCATTACCCGACCGGCATATCACATGTGCAGGGCGCAACGGTGTCACGCTGTGCTGCACCTGGTATGCCTTGGCGAACGTAGTCACACAGGGGAGGAACTTCTGAGTGTAATGAACAGAGAAATCGACAGATGGCTGTCTCCGCGCAAACTGAAAATCGGAACCATGTTGACCGACAACGGAAAGAACATGGTGTCTGCTCTGCGTCAAGGAAGGTTGTGCCATGCGCCATGCATGGCTCACGTGTTCAATCTGGTTGTCAAGCGGTTCCTAAAATCCACCATCCCACTGCAAGACATCCTTAAAATGTCACGTAAACTTTGCATGCATTTCAGCCATTCCTACACCGCAAAGCACACCCTCCTTGAGCTGCAGCGGCAGAACGGAATTCCACAGCATCGCCTGATCTGCGACGTTGCAACAAGGTGGAATTCAACCCTACACATGTTAGACCGCCTTTACGAACAGCGAAAGGCCATCACCGATTTCCTGATGTTACAAGCGGATAAAGGTACTCCCCTGTGTAACTTCGATGTCAGCCATTGGCAGCTCATGCGTGACACCTGCCGCTTGCTCAGGCCCTTTGAGGAGGCCACGCTATTCGTGAGTCGGCAGGACTATGGGATGAACGACGTCATTCCTCTGTTGCACGTCCTGGAACAAATGCTGTTAACAATGGCTGGTCAGGGTGCGGTAGACGTGGCGCACAGATCTCAACGCCACATGACCCCTGTGGGGGCAGGACAGGAAGAAGAGGAGGAGGTAGAGGAGGACATTGGTGTCAGGAATTATTGAGTGAAATGGGTGGTTTTTCCACTCAGCGGACAGGAGTGGAGGAGCAGGAGCATCTGGTAGAGGAGGAGGAGGAGGAGACAGAGGACCCAGACGCACCGTGGCAGTATGCTGTGGAGATGGAGGCAGGGAGTCCCTCGCATTCCTTGGCACAAATGGCCCATAGCATGCTCGGTTGCTTGCGTAGCGACAGCCGAATAATAACCATCAGACAGAGGGATGACTTTTGGCTGTCCACCTTGTTGGACCCTCGCTACCGTTCAAAAATGGTGGCCTTTTTCACACCTGCTGAGAGGGAGGCCAAAATAACGTACTATAAAAACCACCTATGTAGTCAGTTGGTCTCTGCCTTTCTGCGCCAACGTCCATCCTCAGACACTGTGGGCCCTGTGCGCTCGCGTTCCGCTGCCATGGCAGCAGGGGAGGGGTGGGGGTGGTAGGAGCAGTGGCAGCTCCACCAGCAGCGGCTGCCTCAGTCTGCAGTCGATGATGAGTAGCTTTCTTCACCAGCGCAGTGAGGAAACTACTAACCAGCCGCAGCAGCAGCAGCAGCATCAGGTGGACCTGGAGCAGGACCTCAAACAACAGGCTTGGGCCTACTTGGACAGCACCTGCCAACCGAGGTAGACAATCCCCTTGACTACTGGGCAACGAAACTTGACCTTTGGCCCCAACTAGCTGAATTTGCCCTTGAAAGGCTGTCATGCCCGGCCAGTAGCGTGGCATCGGAGCGCGTGTTTAGTGCGGCAGGAGGTATTGTAACTCCGCGGAGGACACGACTGTCCACCCAAAGTGTGGAGAGACTCACGTTTGTGAAAATGAATCAGGCGTGGATTAGTCTGGATTTCAAACCACCAGTTCCTGACACAACTGACTAAATCCGCCATGAATCATGCCCCAAACATGTGCCACTTTCAAGGTCTCCTCACACTGCTGGTGCCTTGTTCCATTTTGTCATAGGGTGCTGGCAGATTACGGGCCTCCCATTGCTGCTGCCAGGCCCGTAATCTGCCATGGGCCCCCGTACCGCCTCCTCATGCTGCTGCCAGGTCCAGAGTGTCTCATGGGTCCCTGTACGGCCTCCCATTGCTGCTGTCTCCATCGCCACACTCTGCCATGTGCCACTTTCAGGTCTCCTCACACTGCTGGTGTGTTCCATTTTGTCATAGGGTGCTGGCAGATTACGGGCCTCCCATTGCTGCTGCCAGGCCTGTAATCTGCCATGGGCCCCTGTACCGCCTCCTCATGCTGCTGCCAGGTCCAGAGTGTCTCATGGGTCCCTGTACGGCCTCCCATTGCTGCTGTCTCCATCGCCACACTCTGCCATGTGCCACTTTCAGGTCTCCTCACACTGCTGGTGCTGTCCATTTTGTCATAGGGTGCTGGCAGATTACGGGCCTCCCATTGCTGCTGCCAGGCCTGTAATCTGCCATGGGCCCCTGTACCGCCTCCTCATGCTGCTGCCAGGTCCACAGTGTCTCTCATGGGTCCCTGTACGGCCTCCCATTGCTGCTGTCTCCATCGCCACACTCTGCCATGTGCCACTTTCAGGTCTCCTCACACTGCTGGTGCTGTCCATTTTGTCATAGGGTGCGCAGATTACGGGCCTCCCATTGCTGCTGCCAGGCCTGTAATCTGCCATGGGCCCCTGTACCGCCTCCTCATGCTGCTGCCAGGTCCAGAGTGTCATGGGTCCCTGTACGGCCTCCCATTGCTGCTGTCTCCATCGCCACACTCTGCCATGTGCCACTTTCAGGTCTCCTCACACTGCTGGTGTGTTCCATTTTGTCATAGGGTGCTGGCAGATTACGGGCTCCCATTGCTGCTGCCAGGCCCGTAATCTGCCATGGGCCCCCGTACCGCCTCCTCATGCTGCTGCCAGGTCCAGAGTGTCTCATGGGTCCCTGTACGGCCTCCCATTGCTGCTGTCTCCATCGCCACACTCTGCCATGTGCCACTTTCAGGTCTCCTCACACTGCTGGTGCTGTGTGTTCCATTTTGTCATAGGGTGCTGGCAGATTACGGGCCTCCCATTGCTGCTGCCAGGCCCGTAATCTGCCATGGGCCCCTGTACCGCCTCCTCATGCTGCTGCCAGGTCCACAGTGTCTCATGGGTCCCTGTACGGCCTCCCATTGCTGCTGTCTCCATCGCCACACTCTGCCATGTGCCACTTTCAGGTCTCCTCACACTGCTGGTGCTGTCCATTTTGTCATACGGTGCTGGCAGATTACGGGCCTCCCATTGCTGCTGCCAGGCCCGTAATCTGCCATGGGCCCCGTACCGCCTCCTCATGCTGCTGCCAGGTCCAGAGTCTCTCATGGGTCCCTGTACGGCCTCCCATTGCTGCTGTCTCCATCGCCACACTCTGCCATGTGCCACTTTCAGGTCTCCTCACACTGCTGGTGTGTTCCATTTTGTCATAGGGTGCTGGCAGATTACGGGCCATCCCATAGCTGCTGCCAGGCCCCTAATCTGCCATGGGCCCCTGTACCGCCTCCTCATGCAGCTGCCAGGCCCGTAATCTGTCATGGGTCCCTGTACGGCATCCCATTGCTGCTGTCTCCATCGCCACACTCTGCCATGTGCCACTTTCAGGTCTCCTCACGCTGCTGGTGTGTTCCATTTTGTCATAGGGTGCTGGCAGATTATGGGCCTCCCATTGCTGCTGCCAGGCCCGTAATCTGCCATGGGCCCCTGTACCGCCTCCTCATGCTGCTGCCAGGCCCGTAATCTGTCATGGGTCCCTGTACGGCCTCCCATTGCTGCTGTCTCCATCGCCACACTCTGCCATGTGCCACTTTCAGGTCTCCTCACACTGCTGGTGGGTTCCATTTTTGTCATAGTGTGCTGTATGGCCTCCCATTGCTGCTGCCTCCACCGCCACACTGTGGCTCCACACTCTGGTTTTGGCCCCGTGACTGCCCAAATGAGTGAAGTGTGCGGTGATTCTAAGATCGACGGCACTCATCTGCATGTCATACTGACTGACAGTATTATTTCTCTTCCCCAGCAGACTCCAAGGGCATTTAAATTAAAGGTACAGTGTTCTGCACTAATATAAAGGCTCTCTGAAGCCTAGAAAACTCCCTTTATAAGTTAAATTCGCAGCGAATATATTCGCCTCGAATCAAATTTATTCCTCGAATTCGCCGTATCAGCCGAATCGAATTTTTGAATACTTCGCTCATCTCTAATTATAAATACCATTTCAGCCTTTGCAGATGACACCAAGCTGTGCAGTGGAATAACGCCCTTACAGGATGTCTCCAACTTACAAGCTGACCTCAATGCACTGTTTAATTGGGCAACTATGTGGTAAATGAGGTTTAATGTTAATAAATGTAAGGTTATGCACTTGGGGACTAAGAATATGCATTCATCATACATACTGGGGGGGGGGGGGTACAACTGGGGGAATCAATGGTGGAGAAGGATCTGGGAGTTCTGGTAGATCACAAGCTTAATAATGGCATGCAATGCCAAGCTGTGGTTTCTAAAGAGAGCAAAATCCTCTCTTGTATTACAAGAGGTATAGACTCCAGATAGAGAGATATCATATTAAACCTGTACAAATCATTAGTAAGACGTCATCTGGAATATACAGATCAATTTTGGGCACCAATTCACAAAAATAACATTGGGGAACTGGAGAAAGTACAGAGAAGGGCAACCAAACTGATAAGAGGCATGGAGGAGCTCAGCTATGAGGAAAGATTAAAGGAACTGAATTTATTCTCTCTTGAGAAGAGGAGATTAAGGGGGGATATGATCAACATGTATAAATACATCAGTGGTTCATATAGTGAACTCGGTGTAGAGCTATTCACACCTGAGGTCATCACAGAGGACAAGGGGGGGCACTCTTTATGTCTGGAGGAAAAGAAATGTAATCTCCAAACACGGAAAGGTTTCTGCACAGTGAGAGCTGTGAAAATGTGGAATAGACTCCCTCAAGAGTTGGTTCTGGCCAGCCCAGTGGATTGCTTTAAAAAAGGCCTGGATTGTTTCTTAGATACACGGAATATAACTGGATACTAACATTTATAGGTAAAGTTGGTCCAGGGAATATCCGATTGCCTCTCGGGGGATCGGGAAGGAATTTTGTCCCCTGCAGGAGCAAATTGGATTATGCTTTGCTGGGTTTTTTGCCTTCCTCTGAATCAACTGTGGGTGTAGGATTATAACTTTTTTTTTTTAATGGTTGAACTGAATGGATTTTTGTCTTTTTTCAGCCAGACTAACTATGTAACTGTGTCAGTTTTGCTGAGGATTGAAAGAAGAAGAGATGCTGATGAAGAAAGATATTTGAGAAATATATCGCTAATACATCTGATGTGTTTAGTTCTTTCCTGGTAAAGATAAAATATCTCAGGTGAGTGATTTCTTATAGACACCGATATCGGGTCACAAAGTGGATTGTTCATGTTCATTCCATGGTGATGTTTAAGTTATATTGTGGAAGAAAATTACATTTAAAATGGACACTTTTTAGACATTTTGTTTTATTTACACATGAGACTTTAGTTTATATATAAGTTTATGATCAGATTTTATTTATGTATTTAAAGAGATATTAAAGGCAATAAACAAAAATATTTCATACTTTTCTGCTCTGTGCAGTGGGTTTGCACAGAGCAGCCCTGATACTCCTCTTCTCCAGTCCCTTGCTGATGCTCCTGGCCCCTCCCCTCTGCCGAGTGTGCCCCCAGAGCATGCAGCATGATATGGGGGCACCCAAGCAGGCTTGCTCCTGAACTGTTGCTCTATGTGTCCATTCACACACAGTGCCATGGCTCAGCCCCACCCGCTCTCTCGCCTCATTGACCTAGCTGTGATTGACAGCAGCAGGAGCTAAAGACTCCCACTGCTGTGTCAGCCAATGAGGGAGGGAGAGTCCCCAGAGAGCTGAGGCTTTTGTGTACATCATTGGACAGGGCAGCTATTAGAAATTGTGGGTCCACTTACACAGCTCTAGGCCTGGGCCTCCCCAGGCCTGACTACCAACGTTCCCCAGGGCTCACATACTGGCCATCCCACCGAATCCACCCATTGGCCATCCCATCAAGTCCCATACCATGTCCTCCTCCTTCTCCATCCCATGCCCTCTTCCTCCTCTAGTCCCATCTCCTCTTCTTCCAATACCATCTCCTCCTCCTCCATCCCAAGTTCTTCTCCTCCATTCCATGTCCTCCTCCTACCCCTTCCCATGTCCGCCTCCTCCTCCAGTTCCATATCCCCCCTGCATCCCATGTCCTCCTCTTCCAGTTTCATATCCCTCATCCCATGTCCTTCAATAGTCCCATCTCCTCATCCCATTTCTTCCTCCAGTCACATCTCCTCCCATTCCATTTCCTCCACTTCCAGCCTCATCTCCCCCATCCCATGTCCTCCTCTTCCTGCATCCCATGTTCTCTTCCTCCTCCAGTCCCATCTCCTCCATCCCATGTTCTCTTCCTTCTCTAGTCCCATCTCCTCCATCCCATGTACTCTTCCTCCTCCAGTCCCATCTCCTCCATCCCATGTCCTCTTCCTTCTCCAGTCCCATCTTCTCCATCCCATGTCCTCTTCCTCCTGTAGTCCTATCTTCACCATCCCATGTCCTCCTCCTCCTGCAGTCCCATCTCCCCCATCCCATGTACTCCTCCTCCAGTCTCATCTCCCCAATCCTATGTCCTCCTCCATCCCATTTCCTCTTCCAGTCCCATCTCCCACCATCCCATGTACTCCTCTTCCAGTCACATCTCCCCCCATCCCATGTCCTCCTCTTTCTGCATCCCATGTCCTCTTCCTCCTCCATTCCATGTCCTCCTCCTCCTCCAGTTCCATGTCCTCCACCCTATGTCCCCCTTCTCCTCCAGCCCCATCTCCTTCATCCCATGTCCTACTCCTCCTCCAGTCCCATCTCCTCCATCCTATGTCCTCCTCCAGTCCCCATCTCCTTCATCCCATGCCCTCCTCCTCCCTCCTCCACTCGTCTATTCTTCTGTACCCTTCCACCCCCCCCCCCCTATCCCCTTTGCCCTTCCATCTCCCCCAGTTTATCCCCTTTACCCTTTTTCACATCCCCTCCCCCCAGTTTCTCCCCTTTTACCCAGTCTATCCCCCTTTACCCTTATACCCCTAATCATTCCCTCTTTACTCTTACATCCCCTCATCAAACCCCTCCCTTTACCCTTACATCCTCCCCTCCAGTATATCTCCCTCTTACTCTTACCCCCCCCCCCAGTCTATCCTCCTTTACCCTTTCACCCTCCCCCCAGTATATCTCCCCTTTACTCTTACTCCCCCAGTCTATCTCCCTTTATTTTTACATCCCCCCCCATTATATCCCCCTTTATTCTTATCCCCCCAGTCTTCCTAGGTGTAGTTCCCCCTCTATGTAAATAGGTTGCTTTACCGACTTATAAAGTTTACAAAAACTTTATCCAAATTCTATACTTTCTCCAATGACTGACCTCCGCCTGGTACATGGAACTCCCATCCGAGTACCTTCAGGCTGGCAGCAGCTAGCTCCATCTCTGTTCCAGAGTACAGCAATCAGTGGGTGGGACTCTCTGTCATGTGACCTGGTTCTTGGACAAGGAGATGAGAGGGAAGAGAGTGAGGGAGCTGGCTGGTCAGGTGTACCTGTTGGGTTGCTAGGTGACGGCGTCCTGTGCAACTACTGCAGAACCTTATTGCCCCCTGCCCCCCCAGCGTAGTCCGTCCCTGCTCAGGATGCCTGGACCCAATCAATTTTGCACCAATTGCACTTTATATATATCTATAAGACCACTAGGGTGTTACACACCGTTTATAGCAGCATTAGTTGCATTCATTGTGATGACAGTGCAGTTTTTGAATCACAGTTTATTTTTACTTAAGAAACCCTCGCTTGACTCCACCTGTTTGAAAAACTTAAGACCCATCTCCCTGCTCCCAATTGCCTCCAAGCTTCTTGAGCACCTTGTCCACAACTGTACTATTTGCTACGTCACTGACAACAACCTTCTCGATCCCCTACAGTCTGTCTTCCATCCACGGCATTCCACTAAAACTGCCCTACTAAAACGCATCAACAACCTACTAACTACTAAAACTAATGGCCATTACTCCATACTTATACTCTGAGATCTTTATGCTGCCTTTGACACAGTTGATCACCTGTTCCTTTTTAGTAAACTTCACTCCCTTGGCCTCCATGCCTCTGGTTCTCCTCTTACCTTTCTCAGCGCACTTTTAGCGTCACATACAACATCAACTCCTTTTCCTCTTTCTGTTTGGATACCCCAAAACTCCATCCTTGGGCCCTCCTTTTCTCTTTCTACACCTCCTTCCTGAGCCAATTGATAACCTCCCATGGCTTCCAATGCCACCTCTATGCTGACGACACCCAGACCTATCTCTCTACTCCTCTGCTCACCCCTTCGAACTCTTCATGTATCACAAATCTACTGAGTGACATATCAGTATGGATATCATACCACTCAGGGGCAGACTGACAACTCATGGGGCCCCCAGGCAATAGGGCATCATGGGGCCCCTGTGTCCTCGCCCACACACTCAAAGCACACTCAAGAAAGCCTATAAAAGGTACCAGGGGCATTTCATGGGGCCCCCTACTGACCCCGGGCCCTCGGGCAGTGCCCGAGTGCTCAAATGGTCAGTCCGCACCTGATACCACTTCCTTAAACTCAATCTTTCTAAAACTGAGCTTGCAATATTTCCTTCTCCCCAATCCCCCACTCATGACTTTATCATTAAGATCAACAGCACAACCACTGGTCCCTCCCCACATGCCAAGGTGCTAGGTGTAATCCTGGACTCTGACCTCTCCTTCAGGCCCCACATCTAATCACTGGCTAAATCCTGCTGCCTCAATCTCTGCAACATATCCAGAATTTGACCCTTCCTGACTATTGGCACCACAAAACAACTTATCCACACCTTGGTTATATCCTGCCTAGATTACTGCAACTCCTCACTGGCTTACTTTTACACAGGCTATCCCCACGTCAGTCTATTATTAATGCTGCTACTAGACTTATACACCTTGCCAAACCGATCAGTGACTGCTGCCTC